CCATGCTGAGCCTCACCTCCAGACCGTGCTGAGCCTCACCTCCAGACTATGCTGAGCCTCACTCCAGACCATGCTGTGCCTCAGTTCCAGACCGTGCCCACCTCACCTCCAGACCGTGCTGAGCCTCACCTCCGGACCGTGCTGAGTCTCACCTCCAGACTATGCTGAGCCTCACCTTCAGACCATGCTGAGCCTCACCTCCAGAACGTGCTGCACCTCACCTCCAGGAGGTGCTGAGCCTCACCTCCAGACCGTGCTGAGCCTCACCTCCAGGTCGTGCCCACTTGACCTCCAGACCATGCGCACCTCACCTCCAGACCGTGCCCACTTCACCTCCAGACCGTGCGCACCTCACCTCCAGACCGTGCGTACCTCACTTCCAGACTGTGCTGAGCCTCACCTCCAGGCCATGCTGACCCTCACCTCCAGACTGTGCTGAGCCCTACCTCCAGACAGCGCAGGACTTCATCTTGAGGCTTTCAAGTCTGTGAATGTCGGGAGTCTGCTTTAGAATCTGTTGGGCAAATTCTTACAATTATTTTGTTACCAGAGTTACTTGTCAATATTACATGACACTGCAAGATTGAAGTGGTATTCAGCGGAATTTATGTTCTATGTATATCTGAATATAGCAAACGTTTACAATTAGAATTGTCCTATGCCCAATGATTCAGCTTTAACTTGGTATTCTTTTCCAGCTGGAAACCTTACCCAATGGACTATTTCATTGCTTGAGTCTGCGGACGTTGCTTGTGGGAAAGAACAGCCTGACAACACTATCACCTCTAGTGGGTGATTTAGAGAACCTTGTACATTTGGATCTTGTTGGCAACCAGTTTGAGTTCCTGCCTGCAGAATTGGGCAAATGTAATTTTAAACCAGGTGGTCTTGTTGTGGAAGAGTCGATCCTTAATTCATTGCCCGCATTTGTAAGGGAACATTTGTTAAAAAATGATACGGAGCAAGGGTAATCAGTTTGAAATGCCAAAAACTGACCGGTATTTGTAGCTGTGGAGATTATGGGAAGAAATATTCAACAAGAATGTTGTTGATAAGGACCTTGGCTCACTAAAATCCAACAGATATCAGCTATCAGATAGTTATCTGTATGGTCTCCAAACCAGCATATGTATTATAAATAAGTGACTAATTTGGACTTGTATGTGGATAAAGTGATCCCTGGGAGGTAGAACATAAACGGCAGAAAAGAAAGGAATTGAATATTGATCAAGAAACCAAAAGCAACAAATATTGTGATGTTCAATTAATCACCCTCATTCTAAGCAAAATGAGTTTGTTGATTGATGTTCTTTCTTGTTGCGTTTACAGGAGATATAAATTTGCACATTGTACAGTTTGGGAATCTGTGGGTAGGGGATTATTTTCAGGTTTGATGAATAACTATATAAAATGTTAAATAAAAGTAATACTGCACTTTAAGGGATGGTTTCACATCCTGAATTTTGCTTCCTTTCAGGTGATTGTTTTCATAACAAGGCCTATACCTACTATTTTACAATGATTAGTCAGTAATTATAAGTGATGGGAACAATTAAACTATCTGTTTCTCTTTACTCTACAGTTTAGGTGTTTTTTTTAAACTTGGAACATGTTCTGACTTTGGAATGCATTGCCACTGCATTCTTTCAAGGATATATTTATATTAGTATGTGCAAACTTTAATATTCTTCAAAATATTTTGAAAGTATTTGCCCACTTTCTTTGCACTGTTTGAGGTAACAAAACTTTATGACTGTATACAGGCTGATTGTTTAAGTCACATAAACATTTTCTCCATTGCATCGTCCTGTTCTTTCTCCCAGTGCGATCCTCCCTTTCAAATAAAATTGCATTTCCTTTCACTACTTTGCCCAGTTCCTATAGCCAGTGTACATATTCCTTTCTGGAATCCTTTGATGGGACATTCCATTGTCACAGGGCTTCCAGACTCATGGACAGTTCAAATTTAAAGTGTCTCAATTGATTGAGGTACAATAGTCATGGGGATGTCAGGTAACATTGGTTCAACAAGCCTGATGGATGAAGGGGAATATAAGTAAAGCTTTCATTTCTGGGCCAGAATCCCCAATGTCCCACTTTCCATCCGTGGGACAGTCATTACAGACAGCTGGAAAGGAATGTTTTTTTTAATGATTCATACTTAAGCATACGATGTTCAGGATGGAACTCAAACCACATGTAAAAGTGACCTAAAGGGCAACATTTTCACTCAGTGGGTGGTGTGTGTATGGAATGAGTTGCCAGAGGAAGTGGTGGAAACTGGTACAATTGCAACATTTAAAAGGCATCTGGATGGGTATATGAATAGGAAGGGTTTAGAGGGAATTGGGCCAAACCTGGCAAATGGGACTGGATTAATTTAGGATATTGGCTCAGCATGGACAAGTTGGACCGAATGGTCTGAGTCCATGCTATACAGCTCTATGTTTGGAGAGGAAAATAAGAACATTAGGTTTACCGGTGGGTTTATCAGCAACAAGTAATAAAGAAACCCAGCCTGAGGAACACGAGCTATACTGTAAATGAATGGTGGCAGTGAGTGAGTTGCCACTGGGGCTGGAAACCAGAGGTTTTAACAGTGACCATACTTTTTGCCAGGTTGATGGGCCATGCCTTTTGCTGGAGTTAGACTGGGGCTTGTCTGTTATTTTGTAAACATGCATGGTATTACCTCATGCCTGTTTTATGCCAATTTAAATATTGTGGCACATGTGTGAAATTAATACTTCCTTGTGTATCGTGACTTTATGCTGAATGAAGGGTTAATAATCATTTTGGATATTGATTAATTTGTCCAGTTCTGCTTCTGTGTGAATCCAAATACCACAAAAGTCAATGCACTTCTACACACAAAAAGCCATTACTCTAATATTCAATACTCTAATAATCTACAGCTAATATGAAATCTATTTCATAGACTTAAATGTGGGTTATTTTTAACCAGGCAACTACTATTCTTTTTACTGCCTTTCAGATCTCAATTTTAGATTTAAATTTAACAGTTGACATGCAGTCCTCTTTACAATAGTAACCATTATATTTTTTCCACACATAATAGCTCCTGAACTTATGCATCCTTAAACTAAACAGGACTTTGATTCGACCACATTTGGAATACTGCGTACAGTTCTGGTCGCCACATTACCAGAAGGATGTGGATGCTTTGGAGAGGGTGCAGAGGAGGTTCACCAGGATGTTGCCTGGTATGGAGGACGCTAGCTATGAAGAGAGGTTGAGTAGATTAGGATTATTTACATTAGAAAGACGGAGGTTGAGGGGGACCTGATTGAGGTCTACAAAATCATGAGAGGTATAGACAGGGTGGATAGCAAGAAGCTTTTTCCCAGAGTGGGGGACTCAATTACTAGGGGTCACAATTTCAAGGTGAGAGGGGAAAAGTTTAAGGGAGATATGCATGGAAAGTTCTTTACGCAGAGGGTGGTGGGTGCCTGGAACGCGTTGCCAGCGGAGGTGGTAGAGGCGGGCACGATAGCATCATTTAAGATGTATCTGAACAGATACATGAATGGGCGGGGAGCAGAGGGATACAGATTCTTGGAAAATAGGCGACAGGTTTAGATAGAGGATCTGGAGCAGCGCAGGCTTGGAGGGCCGAAGGGCCTGTTCCTATGCTGTAATTTTCTTTGTTCTTTGTTCTTTGTTCTTTTTAAAGTTCCCACATATGCTTACCTTAGAGTCGAAACTTTTGGGGGAGGTGCCCAGAACAGTGAATATAAATGTCAGTCATTGTGAACTAGACAAAAAAATTGAAGTGTCGACACAGGAAGGCAGAATTCTGATTGGCTGGTAATTTTAGAAACTCTCCTTAAACCCCACTTGTTTTAAAAAGTTAAAATTATTTAGAGGTAAAGTTAAAGTAACTAGTAAGAATAAGGAAGCTTAAGAAGAACTAAAGAATTTTAAGAAAGGCTAAGGAAGTTTAAATCACGGCAGGCAGGAGCAGCCATATTGCATTGTATCCTCTCATGAAGAGAGTCACAGATTCCTTTGGCACCCAGGATGACCACATGTGCAGGAAGCATCCCAGCTGCAGAAACTTGAGCACCAGGTTTCAGAGCTTGGGCAGTGTTTGGAGGCAGTGCAGCATGGCAGTGAGGCTGAGAGTTACATGGATAGCACGGTTTAGAGAGGTGGACCCACTGCAGCTCAAGGGACTGGAGAAAAGAAGGGATTGGGTGTCCACCAGGCAGTCAAAGAGAAACAGGCAGGTAGTGCAGAAATCCCCTGTGGTCCTACTCCCAAATTGGTTTCCCATTTTGGAAGCTGAGGAGGGCATAGGTACCTCAAGGAAGTGCCGACAGAACCAGGTTTCTGGCATCACAAGTGGACTGACTGTATAGGAGGGGTGGAAGAAGAACACAGGAGTGATAGTGATAGGCCATTCCCGTGGCTGCAAACATGACTCCAGGATTGTGTGTTGCTTCTGAGATGCCAGAGTCAGCGATACCACTGAGCAGTTGATGGGCAGCTTGAAGGGGGATGGTGGTAAGACAGAAGTTGTGGTACACATTGGTACCAATGATATAGGCAGAATGACGGATGGAGTCTTGCATCAAGAGTACAGGAAGCCGGGCAGTAGATTAAGAAGCAGGACCTCGAAGGTTGTAAGCTCAGGATTACTCCTGGCACCACGGGCTAGCAAGCACAGGAGGAGAAGAATAGAGCAAATGAATATGTGGCTCAAGAGTTGGTGCAGGAGGGAGGGTTTTAGATTTCTGGATCACTGGGATCATTTCTGAGAAGATGAGGCCACTACAAGTGAGATGGTCTGAGCCTGGATGGGACCAACATCCTTGCAGGAGGGTTTGCGTTTTGAAATTCACTCAAACTAATAACATTCTCAGATATTTTCCTAATCAACTCAGGGACGTAATGACGCATCTCTGGAACAGACAAGGAACCTCAGCCTTCTGGCTCAGAGGTTGGGACACTACCACTGTGCCATAAGACCCCTTTTTCAGGACGTTTTGCTAGTGCTGTTGGGAGGAACTTAAATTAGTTCAGCAAGGGACAGGGGCTACAGTACATCAGTTCAAGTGTAACACAGCCCAACTTAGAAAAGGAACCAAGTAAGAGTGAGTTCAGTCATGTATGTTTTTTAGGGAGTAAGGTGAGGCTGGATGGCCTCTATTTTAATTCTAGGAATATTAGAGGTAAGGTGGATGATTTAAAGGTGTGGACTGACATATGGAATTGTGATGTTGTTATTATCATAGAGACATGACTGAACATTCCAGGGTGTAGTATTTTCAGACATCTTCAGGTGAAGATGCAAAAGTGATGTTTTCTTTTATTTATTCACTCATGGGACATGGGCATCACTGATTGTCAGCATTTATTGTTCGTCTGTGGTTGCCCTTGAGAAGGTGGTGGTGAGCTGCCTTCTTGAACCACTGCAGTCTCTGTGCTATTGGTAGGGTCACAAAGTCCTTAGGGAGGGAATTCCAGGATTTTAACCCAGTGACAGTGAAGGAACAGCAATATATTTCCAAGACATGATGATGAGTGGCTTGGAGGGAATTTGCAGGTGGTGGTGTTCCCATATATCTGCTGCCCTTGTCCTTCCAGGTGGAAGTGGATCTTGTAGATAACCCACACTGCTGCTATTGAGCATCATTAGTGGAGGGAAAGGATGCTTGTCGATGCAGTGCCAATCAAGTTGCTGCTTTGTCCTGGATGGTGTCAAGTTTCTTGAGTGTTGTTGGAGCTGCACTCATCCAAGCAAGTGGGGAGTACTCCAACATGCTCCTGACTTGTGCCTGGTAGATAATGGACAGGCTTTGAGGAGTCAGGAGTTGAGTTATTTGCTGCAGTATTCCTAGACCTTGACCTGCTGTTGTTGCCACTGTATGTATGTGGCAAGTCCAGCTGAGTTTCTGGACAATGGTAACCCCCAGGGATGTTGATAGTGTGGGAGGGAGTAGGCGGG